CATTAATCTCTCCATATACTTTAAAATTATCAACAAAATCTCTTGCAATAAACCTATATTGTACCAATCATTTGTTTAATTTTGTATTCACATATATTAATTCACCATAGCCCCAAATGGTCTCAAACATCCAGATTTCAAACCATTTTTGTTAAAAAAAATACTATTAAAGATAGAATTACCACAACACTGAACAGTTATATTATTAATATACGAACAATAAAAACAATAAATACCAGCAAGGTAGCATGAATATTAGTGAAGATATAACAATAAAAACCAACATCAACCGAAACTATTAAAAATTTATAAAATAATTAAGATAGTACGCGCGCTCTGATTGGCTGAGAGGAGTGCTTGCATGAGAATATGTAAATATGGTTTTGAGGTGAGGTGTTTTGCTTTTCGCGCGCTAATCACGCAAGCACGAATTTGAAAAAGTTTTAGTGATCAAAACTCGACAAGTTTACTTTATTTACCCATTCCTTCGTCGGCTGAAACTTGGAAAATCTTTACAAACAAGCTGTGTCAACTTTTTTTCGCTTAAGATGACATTTTAAGAGAGAAAATCCGTATTTTTGAAAGCATCTTTTTGCAAAACGAGAACTGATTACGCGTGCAAGACTTCGTGTACAAGACTTTGCAACTGATAAGAATTTCTCTATTAATCAGTGCCATAACAAAGAGTTTTGCGTTTTTTTCTCAGGAAATTTATTTTATAAAAGCAATAGAAAACTTTTTTCCGGCGTTTGCATAGCGTGATATAAACACTCGAGGGACTGGGAGAATTCTCGACAGTTATGCAAACCCTCGACTTCGTCTCGGGTTTGCATGACTGTCTCGAATTCTCCCAACCCCTCTCGTGTTTATATCAGGCTATGCAAACACGGAAAATGTTTTCTATTGCTTAAATATATTCACAGTGACAAAAGTTTTAAATTTAAGAAAAGAGACATGATTTAGCTTGATTTAATTAAAAATGTTTATATTTTTTCTATAATTCAAACAACAAGGAAATTAAATTAATTAAGCGTATTTGCATGCATCTATTTTACAATGCTTCCCAAACTATAAAAATGGTTATCTTGGTAAACTTATCTGCGATATTTTTTTTACCACGGTTGATCAGACCACCAGAAATATGCCTACCAAGCTATCTCTAGTATCTACCTTGCACATTACAAATGCCCAGAACTACTATTTTAAATCAACCAATTCAACTTTCAGAGAGAACTAGTTTAACGATTTGTTTTCTTTTTTTGTTTTTTGCAGACGCCTGTCAGGGTAATCATACTCGCGTGGGCGAGAGTAGCTCGCGTGAGCTCGCGTGAGCTCGCGTGAGCTCGCGTGAGCTCGCGTGCACTTTAGTCAGGAGGCCAAAGTAACTCACGTGTGCTAAATATTGGCCTGGCGGCCATGTTAACTGGGAAATCTTCTCAACCTTAGCTTTAATTTCGATAGTAACAGTAGGGCAGTCCACGTAAATGTACGAAAATAATTTAACGGACAAGATAGATAAACATTATGCTGCAAGTTGGTTCGTCCAGTTACGACAGTTGGTCATTTCGTACAGGCTGTAGACCACTATCCTTACCTCGGAGT